ACAGACGGGGTCACAGGGACCCCATCCTGGAAATTGCTCAACATCAACAACACCAAAACTCTTCGTGATCTCTTTCACGCCTTTCTGCCAAGTCATGTGCTGTCCACCTCACGGTTTGCACTATCCTGGGAGGTGGCACCCTGTTCAAGCGAAGTGTTCATGAAAAACATAGCCACTGTTCTGGATGTGTTCGTTGAGGTCGTGTAGTTAGGTTCGCTACCAGAATGATGGTCACCTAGTATTATCCATCAAATGTACCCTACAGTGCATGCCTGACAAACACACGCACATATGAAGCAAGGTGAACAATAGTCACTCGCTCAGCTGTAACACCCTTTCAGTGCCCAGCTGCCATGCCACATGAAGGAGACTCGAGATAATACTAAGCCAAAATAGGGGCAGCTGAGATCCTGGAACTGGGTTCGAACCACCGACCTTCCGGTCAGTGAGTGAGAGCCCTAATCACTGAGCTATCCCGAGCTCAGAGTGGATTGGTGGTGATCTGACTCCAGTAGGTATGGCCACACCTCTGTGAAGAAACGAAGTCAAGGGGAATGAAGCTCCAGGTTAAAATCAATGCTGTTACTTCAAAGACTAGCAACCAACTGCGACAGGTTTAGTCGGTGGCTAGCTCTGTGCATGGTGCCCTATGCGCCAATGTATCAGACACTGCAGATTAGAGACAATGAGACCGAACACATTCCGGATTCCCAATGATGTTTTTACGCTCTGCTCCGGACTGGCTGATGATCCAGAGAATCGCAGTGGATCACTCCGGTACACAACAACCATACAGATGCAAGTGTTTGTATCAGGAAGGTTAGCTTCCTGAAAGCAACCACTGAATGCCCGAAATCTACCGAGACTCTCAGCTCCGCTAGATGTTGACCAGACAGACAACGCCCCCTCAATATGCAGCGCATCAGAGCCTTGTATCAAACCCAGACAGCGCGAGTCAGCGTTGATCAAGGTCAGACAACGCCCCCGCGATATGCAGCACGTCGCAGCCAGACCGTGTGCGTCAGCATTGGACCGAGTTCAGACAGTGTCCCTCCAATAAATAGCTTGAGACCGTGGTACATTCGCACTCGCACGCAATCACGCTCTCGCACCCACTTTGTTGGAATATAGCTATTGTGTTCCCTTCCGTGAGCCTTTTTCTCTCCGGCATTAGGCACTGGAGCGGGTCAGCAGCAGATACCACAGATTGACGAATCAGCAGATATAACAGTTTGGGTATGGGCTACCTATGTTGTCGGTGAAAACACTGAAAATAAAACAAACCACAGTGCCTCCCTACTGAAGCTTCCCAGAAAAAAACCAGGGCGTGATTTCGGTCCTATTAGAGATCTCGTCATCACAGTGAGGCGTGGTACTTCAGAGTGCGCCAGACATATTTCTACTTACTGAGGATTGAATCTCCATTCTCTAGTATCGTCCGCAGCAAGCATTCCACACCATATTCTTACGGCGTTTCCTTTCTCTCTCCCCGAATCCAGAGAGTTCAAGACTGTGTTCTCAAAGGGGCAAATTTATTCCCCAAAAGGTGAGACACACGCATAGGATAACAGAGTAAAAAAAATACATCTCGGGGACCCCACGGCAAGACTAGAAATGGCTAACTGAAGGACCGATGTACTCGAAATCACATCGCGGAAGAATGGATCCAGCTAGAGTCCCTGTTTCATTCTTGTGCTTTTCGATCAGAGTATTAGCCACCGCGTGATTGCTGCACATGGTCAGCCAGTGATTATACTGGACGATGTTGTCAACGCTAGTCACTCGCTCAACTGTAATACGCTTTCGAACTGTCATGCCACCCGAAGGGAGCACGGGGGTTGCCTAAGCCTAGACAGGGGAAGTCCAGAGGTAGAGGTCGGGTTCGAACCACGCACCTTCGGGGCAGTAAATTCGCACGTAAGCCGTCTCAGTTATGGGCAAGTTAAGAAGAGACCGAAAAGTAAACAAGTAAAACACCCTGACTTTAAAAGACACCGTTTAAACAATCGAATAACTCAATCATAACTTTCGGTTTTTGTTCCATGTCAAACTGATTAGGTGTCCCGTACTTGTTACGATATAATTATACTGAGATATGAAAATCGATTGAAAAATCTGACTGTTGTGTTTCTAAAAAGTTACTGATGGAAGCTATCGTAGTTTAGAAGTAATCTCTTCCGCATCGATTTCATCACCTGTTCTCTCTCTGATGACCCACAAGACATTCGATCTCTCCACCACCAGACCTACAACTGAACCTGAGTTTGGTAAGTTAACTATGGCTGAGTCGCTGGCTGAAATCTCTTCAAGAAGTGCTACAGTGGTGCTCCCTTTTTTTCTGTTTCTATCCAACACTGGATCATGTGACGTGAACCAGGTGGGTGAAGAATAGGGCCTCCGGGCTTATCCGGGACTTGAACGCCGGGAAATCTGACATTCGAGTCGAGTGCATTACCACTAGTTCAAAAGCGTTCGGTAAACCGGTTTATTCGCTGAAGTGTGAACACGTTCACGTGTTCAGACGTGGTAATTCGAGACCATCCAGCCTCTACTGGTGCGAGCACACTTGCCTACATGGAACAGAACGATGGCTCTGCCAGCGGATGTTTGATTTTTTCCTATTAACACCTACAAACCACACAAAAAACAGTCCAATTGTAACACTCTTTCGATGCCTAACCGACTAGCCACCCGAAGGAAGCACGAGGGCTATGATAGTGCCAGGTTGTCCAAGCTCAAATAGGGCAAGTCGGGAGACAGAGGATGGGTTCGAACCATTGACCTTCCGGTCAGTAAATTCGCGCTCTAACCACTTCAGTCATCTTGCTCCCCAGAAACCACACAAGAAAGAATTCACTATCAGTGACATTAAACACATCCAAAAAATTAAGCGGTGTATCTGTTGTTGATTCCGCCTGCGAATCAACGGTGACCAGCGGTAACTTTCCTTGTTTTTTGACTACTCATGAGTAACGTGACTAGCATCTGTTTATTATGACACCGTTTCGTTTCTTTGCTCGTTTTCCCCCTGTTTCGTCCCGGCTTAGGGTCTGCTTATGC